TTTTTATGAAACCAGGACTGTGTTTAAGTGTTGAATGTGTGCTCTGTTTTGATGACCCTGACGTGTTCGTATGAAAAACTTCTCTTCATAATAATTGTAGATTTTCATAAGCGGATATGTTTTCTGTATCGGAGGAGGTGTTGTTTCGTGGAAGTCCACAAAACAAACTTGTATAGCTCGTTCAACCATGGAGTCGGAGTTCATCGCTTTAGATAAAGCTGGTGAAGAAGAGAGTGGCTTCGAAACTTTTTATCTGATATTCCATGTTGGAATAAACCTTTGCCGCCTGTGATGATTCACTGTGATAGCCAAGCTGCTATAGGAAGGGCGCAAAGTATCATGTATAACGGTAAGTTGAGACATATTCGTGGTAAACATAATACCGTTCGCCAATTGATCACAAATGGTATTATTTCCATTGACTACGTAAAGTCTAAGAAAATTTGGCTGATCCTTTTACTAAAGGATTAAATAGAGATCAATTGGGAATACCGCTAGAAGGAATGGGATTAAAAATCCATAATGGAAAGAATGGTCATAGTGGTAACCCTACCTTGATAAATGGAGATCCCATAAACTTGGTTCAAGGGGAAAACTAAACTATGAAAATTCAGCTGAGCACTTGGGACATTAGATATCCAAATCTATTCCCTAAAAGCAATCCAAGTGCAAGATTACCTGTTGATTGTGGTGAGGGTAAGTCATCTGGACTCTTAATGAATCCCTAACCTTTTAAAGGTAGAGTAATACATGATACACTTGATAGGAAGGTCACCTATATAAGTGTGAAGTGAGGGCCGCTTCAATGGTAAACACTTATGAATCCAAAGTGTTGTTCATGGGAAAAAAAGGACACAACAATAGAACGGAGTGGAGTTAAGGCTCTATTGTGTGAATGTCATTGTTTTGGTGTACACTATGGAGGAATAGTTCAAGGCACTATGTCTACTAAGCCGCCAGTACATCCGATGATGCTTACTAAGAAAGGTTCAAGGCCACAAGCTACCTTTTTTGATTCAATAGAGACATGTAAGAATTAAGTACAAGAGTCTGCATACATGCATACATTTGATTCCACTCATGTGGGGGATTGAAAAACCAGTTATAAAACGTGGGTTTGACCCAATTTTGACTGAATGTTTTATGGATAAATATTTATTTTGAGTTGAATTAAATATTGTAGAAAAACTCTACGTTCCGAATAGATACTCGTGGTATATTTATTTTCTCAAAACTGA